AATCTACATAAACAGACTAGAAAACAGTAAGTGCAAACTGTTGTTCTATGTAACCCTTATTGGGGTAAGACTTCACTGTTCAGCAGGATATAGTGTATTAAAGTTGCCACTTTTCCATCCCATTTTTAAGAACAAGGATTAATCTCTTTATACTACCTTGAGTATTTTTAACAATTTAAATTTGATAGTCAATATTACTGTTTTACTCCATCTGTCCTGGAAGCATGTATGTGTGATGTGGTTTCTTCTGCCCAATAGGCCCTATCTACATTCCGTTGCTGTTTTGCTTAGGAGCTGTTGGATGGGTGCTTACAACGTGGTCACTTTAAGTTCCTCTGGGTATAACCATCAGCTGGGAAAACTACATGTGGGGGGTGTCAGAAATGCACTGCACATGAACAGTGCTTCACTGACATACTTTCAGGTTACCCAAGTGGGTCAGAGTAATAAATTCCACCCTGGGGAGCAAGAGAAGTTGCATATCTGAGGAAAAGCCACATGCCTGTTAGGAAGCATAGCATATACCCTTTCAGGACCTAGCATTGGGTTCTGTTGTTGCAGAGCTCAACCTGGCTGTACAGTTTGGACTGGATTCCATGTTGCTGTCACATCAGGACATGGATTTGGCCATAAATTGCTGCTAATGTTATTTAATTGGCAAATTTTATTATAAACCTTAAAATGAAGATGACATTGGATCTGATTTTCAGAGGCTCCACATTCCTGTAGTTTTCATAGAATTCATTTGGTGTTAAGTGCGCGACACTTCTGAAATTCAGTTCCTTTCCCCTTTTAAATCAAAAACAAGATTTTGTGGATACAGACTAACATGGCTGCCCCCTGATACTTTTTAAATCAGTTACTTGTAGAATACTTGTATTTCCAGTAGAGATGCAGATCCAGATCCAGATCCAAACAACTCTGAACTGTGGGAGAATTTGGATCCATTTCCAAAGTTTGCAGCTTGATTCAATTCTAAATTCAACATTGCAAAATGTTCTGCATGGACAAACCCTTGCATTGAGCCCTACTGAAGTCCATGAGGCTCTCTGTGGACACAGGCGTCCACTTGCATTGAGCAGTTTGCAGGATCAGGGCTCAAGTGCTGTCTACTGGGTGGAGGCGTCCCTGGATTAATCAATCCTTGGTTTGCTTGAAAATAGTGGTATTGTTGGACAACATCCTTTTAAACAAGCAAAATGTACTGATGTACAGTCTGAAAATAAGGTAATAGTGCATCCGATGAAGTGAGCTGTAGCTCACGAAAGCTTATGCTCAAATAAATTTGTTAGTCTCTAAGGTGCCACAAGTACTCCTTTTCTTTTTGCGAATACAGACTAACACGGCTGCTACTCTGAAACCTCTCATGGGTGACTAAACTTTAAAAAAAAAATCCCAAAGTTACGTTACATCATCATAGGGATCTGTCTTGCTCAGGTACCAAAGAGAATACTATAGCTTTCCGATAGTGAAAGAAATTATTGAATCAATTACTGACCACTGGAGAATAATACTAAAAAATTAGACTAAAGCAGATGCAGTACAGGACTTTAAATGAGGAAAAGGACAAAATAAGGAATTTACCAGCCAATTAATTTTAACTTCATTGCTAGGTGAATTATTGTGGCTCAATCCTCTAGAAGAGTTAAGTACCCTCAAGTCTAACTAATATCAGTGGAACTACTCATAGGAATTATTATGCCTGATAGCATCTGAGGCCAAGAAGGTTTTGTAAACTTTTTTTGTGATTTTTTACAAAACAAATTTTTGGGCCTTATTTGACAGTAGTATAACTTTAAGTGGTTTTCCCCTTTTTCAGTTCTTCCTGTTTTTCTTTCTAGTTTAATTTTTTCTCTGTTTAGGTTTAATTCTACTTAGGCTTTTGTAACCACATACCCAATTAAAATCCCAGCAAAATAAAGAAAATAACATAACCCTCCTATCTCACCCCCCAAAAAATGTTCTTTATTTTTAGATCTCTCAAGTAGGCAAGTCCCAGGTGATATGATGGGCTCCATCATCTCATTCTTTGTTTTATGTGGCATGAGACAGACACCTAACTTACTCCCTCAAGAAGCAGTTTAGGCATCTAAGCTGTCCAATTCCACGTAGCAGGCCCCTGTTCTTGGATCACAGAGCTATGCACCTCCATGCAGCCCAGACTTAGATGCCTATTTCTGTGAAATGGGCAGGACTTAACAAACACCTCCATCATCAGCATCTTTCACTGCGTATCTTAGGGTGCCCTGTGCTAGCATGCTGGCTTTTGTAAATCCCATTCTCAGGCAAATCCCTATTCATTGTACAGGGATCCTAGGAGCCTAACTTCGCTTTATTGTTTCTGTGTTTTTCTAGGTACCTAAAAGTTAGGCACTGTGACACTCAACATTGCAATGCCTAAGTCCCTTTGTGGATCCCACCACAGGCCTGATCCTGCAAATGTGTAGGCCTATGCTTAACTTTAAACTACTTGAGAAATTATATGGGACCCTTCAGGTGCATAAAGTTAAGCATTATGCCTGTGGGCTGCTGTGTTTTGTACCAGTTTCAGTTCTTGCATTAATGTAAAGATAACCTGCAAAGGAGAATATAAACCATACAAAACCCCTGAACCTATTTCCTTTTCCACTCCTTTATGATATAGGAAAAAATGCCTGAAGATGGGTTTTTTTCTTTATAATTTTAACAGTAGAAATTCAGATCCTGTCTAAGTCTGAGTGGACAACTAATGCAATGATGACTTCATAAAAGCTAAGAGATGGAAAGCTGATTTATTTAAAAGGGGAAGGATTTTTAGTCAGACAGCTTAAAACTGCTTTTGTTCTCTTTTAACTGCTATTTAACTTAAGTGTCTAATATTTGGGATAAAGAAAGCTTTTGTTAAGGATTCAACAGCCCTGTCTCTTCTTTTAAGATGTGAAAATATTTATTCACTGAGACCTTCACCAGTGGAAGCCCAGAAATGACACTTCCAAGGTCTTGTCTATACATACTGGTTTAATTAAAGATGCATTGTAAATCTACTTACTTAAACTGGTGCAAATCCCTGTGTGAACACTTAAATTGATTGAAATCTGGTTTATATCAATTTAGTTTATTCAGTAAGATTTAAGATAAATAGACATAAGCCAGGTTAAAAATCAATTTAAGGGCTTGTCTGCATGAGAAAGTTGCAGTGGTTTAACTACTGGCGTGATTTTAAAACAAATTTAGTTAAACGAGTGTGGACACTTACGGTATGTTAGGCAGAGTTACATCACCGGCAGTTACATCGCCACTCAGAGAGCGCTGAAGGGAAACTGCTGTTGTGTGTTCACACTGTCAGCTGCCTGCACAATAGCGTGTTCACACTTGCAGCACTTGCAGGGGTATTCAGAACGGTGCACTCTGGGCAGCTATCCCACAGAACATCTCTTCCTCTTCTACCACTAAGAGTTTTGGGAAGGCGGAGGGGGTTCCGGGCCATCCGGGTCCTGTCCCAATGCTCTGTGATGCATTGCTTTGCATTCCAGCAATCCCTGTGTTTCTGTCTGCATTTGGTACCATCTTTCAATGGTTTGTGTACTGTGCGTTTTGCCTCTTCGGTCTGCAGGAATAGATCCCGCACTATTGACCAATATGCTGCTCACTCTCACTCACATGTCACGAGTGGCAGTGGAGTTATTCCTTAAACTACAAAGGCAAGAGGAGTTCGACATTGATCTCACCATGCATAGTAGCTACGACACGAAATTGCTTGGGGCATTCACGGAGGTGCTGATCACAGTGAAAAGTTGCTTTTGGGCTCAGGAAACAAGTTGCTTTGGGGCTCGGGAAACAAGCATTGAGTGGTGGAATCACATTGTCATGCACATCTGGGATGATGAGCAGTGGCTGCAGAACTTTCGGATGAGGAAAGCCACATTCATGGGACTGCGTGATGAGCTCTTCCCAGCGTTGTGGTGCAAGGACACTAGAATGAGAGCTGTCCTGTCGTTGGAGAAGCGTGTGGCAATTGCATTGTGGAAGCTGGCTACTGCAGACTGCTACCGTTTGGTCGCTAACCAGTTCAGAGTGGGAAAGTCAACCATGGGACTCATGTTGACCAAAGTGTACAGGGCCATTAATCACATCCTGCTCTGAAAGACCGTGACTCTGGGCAACGTGCATGACATTGTGGATGGCTTTGCACAAATGGGCTTCCCTGACTGCAGGGGGGTGACAGATGGCACGCATATTCCAATTCTAGCACCAGACCACCTAGCCACCGAGTACATTAATCTGAAGGGGTATTTCTCTATGGTTCTCCAGGAGCATGTGGATCACCGTGGGCATTTCATGGACATTATCGCAGGCTGGTCTGGAAAATGTGCATGACGCACACATCTTTCGGAACACTCGCCTGTTCAGGAAGCTGCAAGCAGAGATTTCCTTCCTGGACCAGAAGATCACTGTAGTGGAAGTCGAAATGCCCACTGTGATCCTGGGAGACCCTGCCTACCCCTTAATGCCGTGGCTTATGAAGCCATACATGGGGAACCTTGAGAGCAGCAAGGAGCAGTTCAACAACAGGCTGAGCAAATGCAGAATGACTGTTGAGCGTGCTTTTGGATGTTTAAAGGCCTGCTGGAGCTGCCTATATGGGAGGCTGAACCTGGCGGAAGACAATATTCCTATGCTTATAGGTGCATGCTGGATATTCCATAATATTTGTGAGGGAAGCGTGAAAGCTTCACTCAGGGCTGGACCGCAGAGACTCAGGACCTGGAGGCTGAATTTGAACAGCCAGAGACCAGGGCTTTTAGAGGGGCGCAGTGCAGGGCCATAAGGATCAGGGATGCCTTGAGGCAGCAATTTGAAGCTGAAAGCCACTAATATTTGTTGCTATGCTCGGGAGTGCAGTGCTTGTAATGCGAGGAGGTGATAGTGTATCGTCTGCATCAATCACAGTGAAGGTTTAAGAAAATTGCCTGTTGCTTTACAGGGTTCTGTTTGCTCTCAATTAATGGAATAAAGATTGCTTTCAAACCAACACAATTCTTTTATTGAAAAACAACAATCAGAAGAGCGAGACAAACAAAAAAACACATCAACACTATGGGGGCTGGGGGAAGGGAAGGTCCCAGGAGGAAGTGGGGTCCCAGGACGGTTAAACATTTGTGTACGTCCAGGTATCATATGCAACCTTGTCCTTTGGAGTACAGTGCAGCGGACAATGTTCTTCGGCAGGGCTAAACTGCAGAAGAACGGGTGTTGAGTGCAATGGGTACTGGGAGTCCACAGGGCTGGACTGTGACGGGGCAGGAGTGGAATGCAGTGGGTACAGACTGGATCCAGGAGGTTGATAAGAGTGTGTTGGCGATGTTCGGAGGGAGGGGGGCACTTGGGAAAGCGTTTTGCAACAGCAGCTGCAGGAGAGGGCGGGCGCGGAGCTTCTCAGTTTGCAGTGCTTGTAGCACCTGGAGCATGTCCGCTTGGCGCTCCATAACCTTTAAAAGCCGCTCTGTGACTTCATTCTGGTGTGCCACGTTGTCCTCTCGCTGTCCTGCCACTCCTTCAATTTCTTGCTTTTTGGCCACAGAGTGCATCATGACATCATGCAGAAAGTCCTCTTTAGTTCTTCGTGGCCACTTTCTAATTCTGCGCAGCCGTTCAGCTGGTGATAACAAAGGGGAAGGCTGGGCTCCCAAGGTCATATCTGTGAAGCCAAAATGCAACATTTTACAGAAGCAGTATTGTTTGCAACACGCAGATTTCATCATTTAAAACACAGCCACTATTCACATACCTGCCACTAACTGGCTGACCCCAGGCAAGCACACATGAGCCACAAGACCCCCAAAATGGCGAGTAACCAGAGAGGCAGGGGCAATCAGTGTTCCAGGACCATACTGTACACTAAGCATGTGCCTCTTGGGGAGAGCCAGCACTGTAGGGGGAGCCTTATAATCATTACTGTCCGCACATTTTCCAGAGGCTGTGTTCATTATGGAAGATATCTCGCAGCTGAGGGTGAGCAGGGAATCAAGGGAGGGTCTTCTCCAAGACTGCGGCTTCTGCCCTGGCCCTTATGCGGCTTGCCTATGTGCAGCAATGGTCCCCACCCCAGTGATGGCAGAGTGCCGTAGGAAAGTTACCCTTAATGGGGCAAGAAACAAAGCGGCTCTGCCAAAGAACCTGTGGCAGCAGATTGCCCAGCATCTCCACGAGAGTTTCGTGGAGATCTCTGAGGCAGATTCCCATGAAGTGAGGGAGTCAATCAACACCCTGTTTCGCTGCTCAGACTAGGCATGCGGTAGTACGTGCATCATACAGACACAAGCCTGCTTTTTGCAACCCTCCTGCCTCAAACAACTTGCTTCAGCGAGTCCCAAAATCAAAGCCACTTACCAGGGGCTTCCTCTCCTGTTTGCACTTCACCAAGCTCCGACAGCTGTGACTGGCTAACCTCCTCTGGAGTACAGAAGAGCTCCTGGCTGCATGCACCTCTGACCTCCGAGTCGTCCTCTGCTGCTGGGTCCCCCTCCCCATCCTTGTCCAAGATTTCCTCCTCCTGGCTCTGTCCACTCTCAACTGGCTCATGAGCCAACAAAGTATCCATAGTAGTCTTTGCAGTGGTGGTGGGGTTGCCACCAAGTATCTTATCCAGCTCTTTGTAGAACCGGCAGCTTGTGGGTGCAGCACTAGAGCAGTGGTTTGCCTCCTGCACCTTGTGGTAAGCGTTCCGCAACTCCTTCAGTTTGATCCTGCACTGCAGTGTCTCCTGGTCGTGGCCCCTTTCTGCCATACATCGTGAAATCTGTCCGTAGGTATCATAATTCCTATGGCTGGACCACAGCTGGGACTGGACAGCCTCCTCTCCTCAAATGCTGAGGAGCTCAGCATTGCTCCAAGCGGGTATCGCCTGGTGTGTGGAGCAGGCGTGGTCACCTGGAAAGATGTGCTGAGAGCACTGCATGCATCACCGAGCAAACAGGAAGGGGACTTTCAAAATTCCCAAGGAATTTAAGGGTTGGTCACCTGAGGGCAGGGCAGTAGAGTTCAAACCAATGACGACAAGCGAAAACAGGCATTGTGGGACACCTCTTGGACGCCAATTGCAACACTGTCAACCAGGGTGTCTACACTGACACCGTGGGGCTGTAGCCCCGACACAGTAAGCTGTATGCCTCTTGTCGGGGTGGTTTTTTCACAGCACTGCAACTGCACAGTTTCTATGCACTAAGTGGCTTGGCTGTGTGTACACCTCGGGAGTTACACCGCAGAACCTTACCAGTGTAGACAAGGCCTTATTTTGTTTTATTTTAATTAAAATAATGTAAACTAAATCACAATAAGCGCCTCTTAAACCCTTCCATGGACACTCTTAGTTTGGTTTACACCAGATTAATGACAGTGGTTTAAAAACTGATTTAAGTTAAACCAATATAACTTTCTCAGGTCGAGAACCTCTTCCCTACAGGGGCTTGCCCAGGCTCATGTAAAACTGTTTTTTAAAAATGGCTAAATTAGACAGGTGCAATTTTGGATGAAGACTGGGACACGGGTAAAAAAAAAAAAATCCAACCTCCTGCCTCCCCAACAGGACCCTTATCAGGCCTTGGTTTATACAAATCAAGCCAGACGCCCAGTTTGAAACAAAACAATAGTCTCCTTTGCAGGTTGCCCGGGCGCTGCAGTCCCTGGCAGAGCTTTGCAGGAGCGGGGCCCGGGGCCTGCTTTGTTTCTTTCTCTTACTTTATTCCGTCTCTAAGCAGCATTTCCCGCCTCGTCCTCGGTCACCGTATCTCTTGAAGAGCCTTCTGTGGGGCTGGACAGCGCCCGCTCTGCTGTCCCCAGCTCCCCGCCCCCCATACACTGTCTCAAACCCAGTTACCCCATCGGCCCCGCCCTGCACCTGAAGGCGCAGGGACGCGGCCCCGGCCCCTGGGGAGGGCCCGAACGCTTTGGGACGCGGCTGGTGGGAGGGGGAAGAGAACGAGCTCAGGGGCGGGGCCAGGAGGGGAGGAGAACGAGCTCAGGGGCGGGGCCGGGAGAAGGAAGCCGCGGCACGAGCGGGAGGGGCGGGGCTGCCGCTCGATTGCTCTGGCTCCGGCTCCGGCTCCGGCTCCGTCTCTCGGGCGATCGATTCGTCCTGGCTCCACTGCGGCGGGCTGGCCGCGCGAGGGGCGGAGGTGCTGCCGGGAGGGAAGCTGCCCCGTGCCGGTGGCAAACAGCGCGGCGGCCGGTGAGTGACGCCCCTCCCCCCTCCTCTCGCTGCAGGTCAGCGCGGGCCGGCTCTGACCTGCCTCCGGGCTGCGGAGCAGCCCATCCCCGTGCCTCTGCGGCTCTTGCCCTGCGGGGGGGGCCGAGTCTCACTGCGGACCCGCCTTGCCTCTGCCGCCGTTGACAATAACGATCCGGATCGGGCCGTTGGGACGCGCCCGTTACCCCGCCCCCCGCTGGGCGCTGGCTCTGTGCGGGGGAGGCCAGGACCCCCCCCCCCCACACACACACACACACCCCACTACCACTGTGAGGGGGGGCGCTGGGGCTGCCGGAGGCTCCGCTTCTCTCCGCCCGGCTCAGCTGGGCTGGGCCCCGCGGGGGATCCTGTGAAAGGCCGGAGGAGCGCAGGGCCCTGCGGGGGGGCGGGGTCAGAGCGTGTTCTCCTGCGGATCCGAGCGCTGTCACTTGCCGCGTGGACGCGGCCCAAGCCGCAGAACCGACTCTGAAGGTCTGCCTAGTGCATTAGTTAGCACGGCTGTGAGGCCCGGGTCCGGCTGTGGGACCCACATTTGCACGGTGGTGTGGATGCTTGAGCGCTGGCTTGGAAACACTGGGTATGTCTACACTGGAATTAAGCATCTGTGACTGGCCTTTGCCAGCTGACTCATGCTGGTGGGGCTCCTGCTAAGGGACTGTTTAATTGTGTTGTAGATGTTTGGGTTTGGGCTGAGGTCTGGGATCCTCCCAGTTTGCAGGGTCCTAGAGCCTGGGCTGCGGCCCAAGCCCAAATGTCTACACTGCAATTAAACAGCTCTTATCCTGAGCCCTGTGAGCCTGAGTCACCTGGCAGGAGCCAGCCACCAGGGTCTGATTGCAGGATAGACATACCTACTGAGTTCACAAGCCCAGGTCCCACAGACCTGGGTTTACAATGCAGTGTAGACATGCCCTTATAGCTGGCTACAGAATCATTGGTATTTTGTCAACTTGGGCACTGACCAATGTGTTGCAGAAGCTACCTGAAGGATGCAGCTGAGGCCGCAATGTGCTGTCATTTCTGTGATGCTTTCAACGCTTTCCTCTTCACCTGCTTGATGTCAAATCTTGGAGGTCCATGTAAAAAAACCACATGTTTTTAAATTAAATGGAAGCTCTTGTTCAGTTTTTATTATGTCGGTCACTACAGATGTATTCTTCACTGAAAGGTGAAATAATTGATACTACAAAGACTTTACATTCTAAAGGCACCATAAACATGGTAAACAGGCAAGTAGTGGTATTTGCTCTTCATTGTAAGCTACAGTTGAAGAGTCCTTGTTACTACTTCCAGACTTCGTGCAGTAGCATGGGGGGGCCTGGAAACTTTCAGAGCCTTGGCTCTGCAGCAGGGAGCCTGGAAGCTCTGAAAACCCCTGCTCTCAGGGCTTCCAGACTCCCTGGCCAGCTGGCTGCCTGACCCTCAGGGGATCTGACTTCTTATGCTGGGGGAGCTGGGCAGCCCAGTGAGTCACCTGGTCCAGGAGTTTCAAAGCCCTGAGGTCCCTGGCCGTTGGGCAGTCTGCATCCGGGCCAAGGTCTGCAGCAGCTACTGATACGATTCATGTCAGTTTCACTGATGCCCACCATTGAATAGCAGTGGTGAAACAATTATGTCCCTTTCACTGAGCAGTTGTGGGCATCAGGGAGCATATTTTGTTTGGGAAACACCATTTTTCAGAAAAAAAAAATTGGTTTCAGTCTGAAGTGGACCAAAACCAAATTTTGAAATGATGGCATTTCCAGTGAAGCAGAATTTCAATGAGCTGGGCTGTAAAGGTGTGTGTGTGAATTTTTTTGGATGAATCTGTCAAGATAAACATGGTAGTAGCCCTGTATATTCTTTACCAAGTGTATTAATTAGATTATATCCTTGATCACAGGTGGGTTAATTAGCATATTTTGCTTGCTCTAATAGCATCATTTAAACATGCAGACTTTTAAAAAGTCCTTCAAACTTGGCTGTTTCATGGTGTTGGTAAATACCTTTTCTTCTGCAAGCTTTCTAAAGTCTGCTGGTGAGCTCATAGACTTCTGAGAAGCTTAGAAGACTGTAGTAAATAACTAAAATTAACTGTCCATTCATCCAGGAAAACATGTTGAAGAAATCGTTTTCAATTAATTAAATAGATGAGTCTTTCAGACCAGGTTATCTTTTGATAAATCCCCCTTCCCCAGTGTACAATTTTTCAAAACTTAAGTGGCTTCTTTTCAAAGTACTGCATTTCTAAAATGCTATATCTAATTAACTCCAGATTTCCACCCCAAAAAATGATGTTGACAGGATATCGCACATGACAAATTTCAGGCAGAAAACTACTTATCTGGCCAGATTGCTCCCCCATTTTGTTATAGAGATGTTGTATGAAAATAGGTTTCAGAGGAACAGCCGTGTTAGTCTGTATTCGCAAAAAGAAAAGGAGTACTTGTGGCACCTTAGAGACTAACCAATTTATTTGAGCATGAGCTTTCGTGAGCTACAGCTCACTTCATCAGATGTTTACCGTGGAAACTGCAGCAGACTTTATATATAAAATATATATATATAAAATATATATAAAATAAATATAAAATATTATTATATTAAAAATAAATATATTATTTATAATATATAAATTATATAAAATAGTGATTTGAACAGCTTGTCTTCTACTAGCTAAGCAGGAATGTATCTCTTCTTCCTTTTCCAACCACCAATTCACTCCTTGTTACTAATCTTCATTAAAATCTTGTAATGCTTTTAATGTTTTGTATTAAATCATGAAATATTCAGAACATTGTGATTTGAAAAGAATATAATAAAAATATTGTTCCTCTAATTTAGTAATGTTCACAAAGTGCCTATCATTTAGGTTACTCCTACACAGCAAATGAAGTTGTACTTTTAATCTAACTAGTGTAGGTATCAATAGTAATAAAGATGTGGCGACATGGCTTTCAGTGCAGGCTACTTGCCACTATACAACCCTGCTGGGACCGTGGGTAAGCTAGCCCTTGCTGAAGTCTGTGCTGTCATATTTTACTACTGTGGGTACTCATGCTGGCTAGATTAAAGCTAGGGTGGGTATGCTTACTTGCTTTACGACCACATCTTAATTTGCTGTGTAGATATAACCTCAGAATGTTTGGGTCTTTAAGATTTCTCATGTCCTAAAACATGTTTACAGACCAGCATTGACAGTAGTTCAGGCAAAAGCAAATATTACAGGTTTTCAGACTTAAAATATACGGACAGTCTTGCCATAGTCCAGATTTATACATTTCTTTATCTGATTGTATTTTTGTATTCCTTTCTGTGTTAGACAACTCAGCATAGTAAATTTGATCAAAGTAGTAAATAAAATAGGTGATTAGATGATAGAGTCTACATCATGAATCCTATCATGATGAAAATTGCAAAAAATAAGCAGTGTGTAACATATTCAACTAATTTTTAAAAAATTATTTAAATAATTATGAAGTCAGGGAGTTTAAGGAAGCATATTTTCAAAAAACATGAATCAGATTTAATTTCAATCTTATTTTAAATGTATTTCTACTTATGCTGAAATCTGAAAATATCAAAAATCCTGGTTTATTGCTAAAATTCTAAATATAAAGTTCAGAATATCTGACAAAGATAGAAGGTTGAATGTGAGAGATGTTTTTAAAATTGCATTATTTCAACTGCTAAATTATGTCAATTTATGTAAAGCAACCTGGATTATAATTCACCCTGCATTTCTGTTTCCAGCAAAAACAGGCCTGTAAAGCAAAAAGGATTGATACTGCCCAGAGCGACAAACCCTGAAAGGCTAGCATGTATACATATCTTGTCAGTTTTCTCTAAATGTATGTTGCTCACAGATGGAGTGACTTCACCTCTTTTCTGCTTTCCTAGTTGTTATATGGGAATAATGATACTGACTGCTCTGAAAAGCACGTTGAGATATATTGATGAAAAATGCTATGTAAAAGCTAGTTGTTGTTGTGCAGCCTTATCCAGCTGCTTTTTCTAAAAAGTAGTGGTTTGATCCCATGGACTAGTTCTTAGATGAGGTTTGTCATCATATGATAGTGTATCCGACAGTGTCATGTAGCAACAATGAACCAGATCAAACCATTCCCATGATAAACCCTGTGATAGGAGATCCTGAGGAAGAAATTTTCTTGAGGATCCCTCTACTGTTGGGAGGAGGTGACATTTTCTTACTCAGGGAACAGCTATTGTGCCCACCTTCCCCAAATCTACTGGATCCCCAGGGCCATCTGTTTGGAGGTCCAGAGCTTCAGGCCTTAGCTGACCCATCCCTAAATATACTGGTGGATACGGAGAGAAATTATGTTCATCCACCACTAGCCTTGCCTTTGGTCTATCCACACTTTCCCCCCTCCATTCTGGCCTACCTACTTCACTCCCCACTTGCAGTGTGCATTGTGGGCTCATGGATTGCCTTCCACAGTGAAAGCAAAATGGTGCTGTGGGAGGAAGAAGAACTGCCCTGGGAGGGTTCCCTCTACATGTTGATTGTGGGGGATGATCTAGGCAGTGATTTTAATATAATATGAAGTAAGTGTGATTAAAAATAAAAAAATGATTTTTCTTTGGATATTAGGTAGTGCATATGCATAGTGGTAACTTTTCAAAGTTAAAGACGTAGAGTTCACATTCCATCCTCCTAACCTCAGTGTAGCCAAAGGCACTAGTCTGTGTTTACAACCTACAAACTATCAGTTGCAAAAATAAAACAGATTTCAAATT